CAGGCTTTCTGCCACACGTTTCCTCTTTTCAGCCTCACTACATTGCCATTCCTGCATCACCTGATTTAGTTGATGCCTCCAAGTGTCATAGTCATCTTCCCCTACAGGCACAGGTTTAATGCCTGAAAAGAACTTCAGTTTTCTGTAAGGGCCTGATTCATATGCTGTCTTTATGGACTCCCCTATTGCTTTTCCCATAGCAAAAATTATTTGGTCTGTAGAACTGGAAGGAGGCACAGGACTACTTCCCAAAAGAGTCCTTAATTCAGTCATGGTCTTCCCTTCCTGCATAAGGAAGTTCCCCAATTTGGACTGAAAACCATTAGTTTCAGATGGTGGGGCAGATGGGGAGGGAAAACGTGATTGTGTTTGAATGGTCACCTTCCATCCGTCCTTCTCTCCATCTGGCAGAATTACATGGGGAGTCACTACAGTAGACAGTATAATCTTGCTCTCTACAAGAAGAGATAAAGTAGCTTCCCCTTGTGCTTTCATCTGACTCCGAACCACACAGGTTCCCCATTCTCTGACATTAGCAATCTCATCTTCAATTTGTCTAATTTCCCATTCAGTGGGTACATTAGTGAGCAGAAAGTGGCGTTCAGGGTCAGCTCCCTCCAGCTCACACCAAGCTATAAGCCTCTTCTGATAATCCATACTGGGAATTTACTTAATATCCCAGGAAGACAGCAGGAGTGTATATAAGGTATGAGTTTAAAAGACGGGATCCCAGCGGTGCCTCCAATGTAGCGCCCCCTCTCCACCTGGTTACCTTCTTTTAGAGCCAATCTCCTTTCAGGTTCGGATGGATAGGTCTGGGTTCTTCTGGATCCCGCCACCTACTCAATTTTATTCTTTCTGATTGATGTACTTGGCGGTGCCTCCACCCCCCTCACTCCTTCCTAGCAGGGTTGCCAGGGCAGCTTGGGAGGAAAATTCTAGCCCAGGATAATCCCCACGTATTCGCCAGATAGTTGGAGACTCCCAGAAAATAACACAAACACATACACTATAATAAACACAATTATATTAAACAGGAGACAATTATAACAGAACAGGGTAAAACATTATTTTTAGGGTCACCGGTGCCCTGCAACTGTGAAGTTAGTGTCCCGTTGGTACGCGTACTTTGTTGGGGCCCTTGATGACTGTTGACCACACAATCCTTCTCTGCAGAGGTTTAGCAGTGGGGCTGACTAGGTCCAGTACAGCCCAAAGGACTCACAAATGGGAGAAGGCAGTAAATCCCTCCACAGTTTAATAGGCTGCAGGTAATAAAATCCCCAAACAAATTCCCTGACTTACTAACTAAAAATTGGTGCACTCACACACTCCATGAATGAGCCTCAGGTTGAGAGATGACTCAGTCTCTGCAAAGGGCTGCTCTCTTCTCACAGGGGTCCTCTTCAAGCAGGAACCAGGCTGCTTCGGTCCCAGAATTTCCCCTCACCGTGAAGGAGTGCAGGGCTCAAGGTGCAGACCACACAACTGCACCAAAATTCAAAACTACAGCCTCCCAGGCCAGCCTCCAGACCCACACAGCAGGCAGCAGCCCTGAACTTGCTGCTAGAGCCCAGCTGACCATGCAGTGACTCTCTCACCCAGGGAGCTGGAGAGCCAACTCCGCCTGGCTGGGGAAGCCTCCCAGCAAACTCCACAACTGGGAATCAACAGTGGAGACATAAACCCAGCTGAGGGATCCTGCCTTCAGGTCCCTAGAGGCTAGTTCTCAGGGGGAACCCTGCATGCAGGCCTGGGGCTTACTAGCTCCCACACACTCAGTCCTCCCCCTTTTCCTGGCTGGCTCCAGACTCCCCTCAACAATGGTCTCTTCTTCCCCCTGGGAGGGGCATCTCACTCCCTGTGGGTTGCCGGGCAGACTCTGGCCCTGATAGGGAGGGGGAGCCAAGGCAAACTCAGAGTGCCTCTCCCTGAGCTGCCAGCAGACAAAGCCCCGGGAATCCAAGCAATCTCCTTGGGGGTTACACAGATATAAATATGCAGGCCAGGATCAGGCTGGAGATGACTAGGTGGATCCAATCAAGGAGGCACAGGCCTCAGAAAATCCAGTGGTGGGTAACAAAAATGATTAGGGGTCTGGAGCACACGACTTACAAGGAGAGACTGAGGGATTTGGGCTTGATTAGTCTAGGGAAGAGAAGAGTAAGGAGGGATTTGATAGTAGCTTTTAACTACCTGAAGGGAGATTCTAAAGAGTATGGAGAGAGGCTGTTCTCAGAGATGGCAGAACAAGGAGCAATGGTCTCAAGTTACAGTGGGGAGGTCTAGGTTGGATATTAGGAAGATCTATTTTCTTAGGAGGGTGGTGAAGCACTGGGATGGGTTACCTAGGGAGGGGGTGGAATCTCCCTCCCTAGAGGTTTTTAAGTCCCAGCTTGACAAATCCCTGTCTGGGATGATTCAGTTGGGGTTGGTCCTGCTTTGGGCAGGGCAATTTAACTTGATGACCTCCTGAGGTCTCTTCCAACCCTAGGGTATAAAAAGTAGCCGATTGTTATTTTCTGCAGTTTGAACCTCACCTTTTCTCCAGAATTCTGGATGTGCTGGCAAATTTAGCCAGGAAATGGAATTGGAATCAGTTTTCAGCAAGGAATCTCCTGTAAGTACTATGTCACATGTTGGTGTTATTGATCCCTGGTTTGTGTTTAATTAAACAGTTATCAGGGGTGTTCAGATTCTCCTGCAATAATTAAATCACAGTAGTTTACTGAATAATTATAACAGTGAATTGTTGAGATCAAAAAACCGCCAACTGAGGCAACAAGAACTGTGTTGTTAAATGAATCCAAATAATGCATGTTCACGAGACTGTAAAATGATATGGAGGTAGATACCCATCATTCAGCTCTGCAAGTCTGCCTCTTTTAGGTGAAGTATATTCCTAATCTCACCTTCTTGTTCTTTCATTATTACTCTCTGTTTTCTTCTCCAAAAACAAATGTTGCTGCTATCTTTTGTTTTTACCTACCGTGCGCACACTGTGCTTTGCCCTGGTAATAAATAGATTTGAAGGCCGAAAGGGAATATTACACTCTCTTTGTCGGACCTCCTGTATAACACAGGCCCTAGAGCTTCACCCAGTAAATCTTGCACTCTGCCTTTGTTCACTCCGAATCTAACACGTCTTTTGTATTAAACAAGCCTCCCTTGTCTGGATTACCTCACTCTTAGTGCAGGTGAGCCTGAAGTGGAATTAGCTCTGACCCCTTGGACTTAATATTTAGATTGTCTTCTTTACATTTTTAAATGCCCTATTATATTCTCCCTATGCAAAATGTGAACAGATTGTTTCAGTCACAATGACCTTTATTTGTTAAGAGAACAAACATACATTTTTCATGAGAAAGACACACAGTATGTGGATGTCTCTTCTGTTACAGTCTGTACTTAACCGAACACACAATGGGTTCCTGTCTCTGCAGACAGCAGTGTCCTTAGTGGATGAAAGAGGCAGTGTGGAAAATAAACCCACACAGGGGGATAATATTTCTCCTTCAATTTGTTGGACCTACATGATTTTGAAAGCCTCTTTTAGTTCATTTCATGCATGGTCTTTCCGTTCTACCCAGAGAAAAATAAACCAACTCCAGTAACTATAATGCAGATCTTAAGATAATTGAAAAGATTCCAGAAAGCTATGGTGAAGAATTTCAATGGTAAAAATAAGAGTTGGGTGCTGAGCACCCACTTTCACTGGGAATTGGATTCTTAAAGGTGCTTTGAAAATGTCCCACAATGTTTTTAGTATTTCACAAGAGAGTTTGCCAGTTACGGTTTAATTAATGATGCTGCATGCTTGATTGTACATTTATATTTATTCTTTATCCATGTCAGTCTCTACAGACAATGTAGCTTTTAATATACTGGTGCTTTATGTGCATGGAGTGGGGTTTTCAAACATTTTTAATTGATTAAGAAGCACAGGCTCCATTGATAGTCACTGAACTGCTTTGGAAAATGAGATTTAGGCTTCTAAATCAGTCATTGCAACACTGAGCTCAGCAATACCTAAATGCCTTTAAAATCTGTTTGCAGTGTTGTTGTCGTGGTGTTGGCCTGAAAATATGAGAGAAATAAGATGGGAGAGATAATATCTTTCCTTGGACCAGCCTTTGTTGGAGGAAAGTGTGATGGGGCATTCCATATGCTTTATGTAAATATTCTTATGCTCTGAATATGACATAACTGGGATATGCTTTATGCAGGATGGCTTATGCAAGATATCTTTGGAAACATTATGATGTACTGAATATGATACAGGCATACAAATAGAATAAACATTTTGTAGTTGAAGTAGGGAATAGTAGCCTGTATTTCATATTTGGGACTGGTTCCGTTCAATATCCTCATCCGCAATGTAGATATTGGCACAGAGAGTACACATGGGTGAAAGATGGGCAGGGAGGTATGGAGATATATGGAGGGTGGTTCCCAGGGACAGAGTGGTGCCCAAATTGCATTGGTGGGGAATGAGGGGATTTAATGGAAAAAGTTTTAGGATAGTGGCTGCAGGGGAGCCAGTTACACAGCTGCTCCTTTTGCTGCGTTAACAGTGCCTCCAGCAGGTTCGCTTGCTGCTCCATAGTGCTTAAGAACTGCTGCATGATCTCCTTCCCCTCTCTCCTGTCGCTATCCCTCCAGTCCTGCAATTTTTTGTGTTTGGCATCTGTGTGGCTCAGGACGACTCTCAAAAACTCCTCTCTAGCCTTTCTTAGAATCACAGGGTTGGAAGAGACCTCAGGAGGCCATCGAGTCCAACACCCTGCCCAAAGCAGGACCAACCCCAACTCAATCATCTTAGCCAGGGCTTTGTCAAGCTGGGACTTAAAAACCTCTAGGGATGGAGATTTCACTAGCTCCCTAGGTAACCCATTCCAGTGTTAACCACTCCCCTAAGGAAATAGATCTTCCTAATATCCAACCTAGACCTCTCCCACTGTAACTTGAGACCATTGCTCCTTGTTCTGTCATCTGTCACCACTGAGAACATCCTCTCTCCAGCCTCTTTGGAACCCCCCTTCCCAAACACTGATGAAGTCCAGCAGCTCAGCATGACTCCAAGCAGGGGACCTCCTAGTGAGTGGAGCAGGCACGACCAGCTGGAGAGATGCGCTGGGAACACTATGTGCTGCTGAGCAAACAGGAAGTGGACTTTCAATTTCAAAAAGAATGCAAGGGCCGGTCTTGGTCACCTGAGCAGGGCAGTAGGGTTCAAGCAGATGACCGGAGAGGACAGAACAGGTATTGTGGGAAGGGTGCTGGAGGCCAGTCAGGATGCAATACTACACTACGGTGTCCACACTGACACCCCAGTGCGGTATCCAGAGTGCAACAAGCTCTATGCTTCTCTCAGAGGTGATTTACCTAGAGCACACTGACTGCAAAGCTAGTGTTCACCAAGTGCCTTGCCTGTGTGGACACTGCAGAAGGTACAGCACCAGGGGCTGATTTACAGAGCAGTAACTTGCCAGTGTAGAATTGGCCAGAGTTGCCTTGGTTTAAATCCTGTCCTGGTACATTTCATCTGTATAAAACTCATCTTAGCTATTTAAAATAAAATAAATAGAAAACTAGCTCTGAAATAATAGTGAGCTGAGCCATTATCTTGACCAACACTGTTACTCTATAAATACTGAGACTGGCAATGAGCTGTGACTAGAACAATTCCCCATTGTTTAGATGCTTTGGATTTTTAACAGATCGTAGTATTTATACAGCTGAAGGTAGAGACAAAATAGCTGCTCTCTCCTTTTGACAAACCAGGTCCCTGAAAAGTCCAAGTCCAGTGGGGTCTCTGGGAATTTAATTCTCTAGCTCTTGATGCATGGGGTGGGGCTCAGCGCAACACTCCGGCTAAGCAGGGTTTATGAGGCAGATACGATCTTTTCGGTAAGGGAAGTTTGCATTTGTCTATTGTGAACTGGACTAGTTATGAACAAAAGCAATTACACACCCCAGGGGCTGACGACGCTTGCTAGATTTAAATGTCTCACTTGGTTCTGGTAAGAAGTTGAAGCAAAGATTCCTGAATTCTGAGACTGTCTTTTCCTATTATCCTTTAAAACACCCAGCTTTCCTACTAACGAGGTTTGTCAACTTCTTTGGTTTTAATACTTTTTTTAAAAAGCTGAAATTATGGAAAAAATTAAATGGCTGTCTTCTTGAATATTATCTTCCCAGTTTATTGTGTGCCCTCTCTCCCCTTCCCTTCCTGGAGAGACCAGCCATCACATGAAAATGCTTTTCATCACTGCAAAATTTGATGCCCAAAATAGCCCCATGGTTGCCCTAGCAACTAGCATTTATTCCCCCTTTCCTTCCCCCCCCTTTGCATATTGCTGCATATTTCTATCATCTCTTTCCAGGCACAGTTCATAAACACGGCTGCATAATAAAGAATGTTATCACCAATGACTTACAGCCCAGCTGCTGCAAATAAGATATGAAGTGGCAGGGAAATACAATTTCATGCAACTAGGACAACAGATTGATTGGGTGCCCTTCAAATTTGATGCCACTTCTTTAAGTCTGTCCAAATAAAAAAAAAGTTAGTTCCCCCATCTTTTCCTGGTAACAAAAGACAATAAAAGCAGGAGATAATTCATAGGGATACTCGGTATGGCTGAAGCAACCTTGCCCTCATACACTGAGGACTTAAATGGATATATGCCTTCCTCCCCACCCCACCCCATCCCACCATACCCCACCCCTTCTACCCTTCCCCAGCTCTTCTTCACAAAGCTTAACCCTCCAATTTGGTTATCTTTTTCATTAGCTTCCCTCTCAAATTATTCAAATCTGAATAGGAGATGGGAATGGCTAGCTTACTACAAAAGGTCATTTTCACCCTTTTGGTAATTGTGCCTTCTTACCAAATCTTCAGAATGGGCTACATCTACCCTGACTGAATTAGCCTTATTAGCACTGGTCCTCCACATAGTAATGCGACGCTTCCATCTTTGTGTGTATAACTCTCTGCCAGACTGAAGCTTCCACTTTATGCAGTTGATGACACCTGTCAGGGGTGATCTAGACAGTGCTTGGCCCTGCCGTGAGGGCAGGGGGCTGGTCCCTTCCAGGTCTAGGGTTCTGTGATTCTATGACATGGGCTGTGGCCCGTGAAAGCTTATGCCCCTCTGATACTTGACTCCATTTAAGTATACAATAGTTATCCTACTGTGTACATCATTGTCAAGGGCAAGATACCAGACGAGATGCAAGCCTAGTCTGAGAAGCCCACAGTACCAGGAAATCTGCAGTGATGGAGAGCTTGGGTCTGCTGTTCCCCCTACATCTATATTAGGATGGAGTAGGGGCACAGATATAGAAAAGGAAAGGAAAGGAAAGGCTGGACCAGCTCTCTCCTTCATTTTAATCCTCAGAACACTTCAGTTCACAAAGACCAATGACAGACACATGATATTATACTTGGAATGTGTATTGAAAATGTGTTTGATCCCCTTTACTGCTTTATTTTGGCAATACAGTAGGGATTCTGAGGAATTTACAGGTGTGAGCTCATGGTCTTCCCCTCCCTTTCTAAGCACAGGTTTCACCCTTTCAACCCACAGTTCTATTTGATATTGCATCCCATTCTGA